ACCGGATTGTCTGCAAAATGCTCCGAAGAATAATGGTGGGCAATTTAGGTATGATTATACAATGCATAAGACTGGGCTGCTTGGAATCCATGAGGGTTTAAATAGTCACGAATTTTGGATCATGGACAATGACGTGTTTTGGTGGAACAGCAGACCTGATCCCTGCCATGCCGTGACGTGCCAGATAAATTTACTAGCAGGAATCCATCTTGCCAATTCAAAAATATATATATTCTTCTGTGCCTTATCTGGTCTGGTGCTCATGTTGTATATTTCCATTGACTGATTGATTTGTCTGTTTAAAGGCATATCAACATCTTATGGGTCATTTAATGCTAAAATTTAATTTTTCTTGCTTTAAAGTAATAAATATATGATAGATGTTATTCTGTTTTAACAAACTAAATACTCAGCTTTTGTATATATACATGCTTATGTGGCATTGATTACTAGAGGCGGTGATATGTGTGTTTTATGTTGTTTTGTTCAAGTTATATATTGGAATACAGTTCGATTTCTTTGAGAAATTGTAGGATATTATATGGATTAATGTCATGAAAGAGATTTCATGACATTAATCCATGAGTTTTTCCTGACAGTTTCGTTGATTTCGTTTTGCGGCATATCAACTTCTATGGTTTATTTAAATCCGAAATCTAAGTATTTTGAACACAATGGCTAAATATATTTTGAAGGCAACTGTATATCTTCAACCACAGATAAAATCTATTGTTGGCAATCCTCCGATGAAATGTATTGCAAGTAATTTTGCGTTAAAAAAGTTATTTTTGATCATTTTACTATGAATAGATATTGTCGGTAATTTTACTATAAATATTTCTTGTTGATAATTTTTTAATATAAAAATGTACGGCTGGCATTTTTACTATAAAAATCTATGTATTTTCATACTTTTATGGTGTCTTGTTTTTGTTTGGTCCATTGCTGGTACTCTAAGGGTGCTACCACCCCGGGTCAGGGTGGATCTGACAATAATTAGGAGGTGGCTTCAAAACCTTCAATCTCCCGATCAGAAGTCTTGCTGCCGGATGTAGTTTATCCTCATACCCAGGACTATATATATATATATATATATATATATATATATATATATATATATATATATATATATATTCATGAATTATTCATACAAAAACAAATACAAAGGTTAATGATTTAATTGGCGAAAAATCCATCGTCGCGAACAATTCAAATAATATACAAAAACCCCGAACCTGTTTATGTTTCTATAAATTTCTGTTGCATGAGTTCTTATTATTTTTATATATTGAGATTCTCGACAAAATCCAAAGAAGGCTCTGCAATGTTATTGGACTTGCACTGGCATCTCGACTTCTGCCATCTCAATACCGCCGTGGCTTCCCTCTGTCTTTTCTATAAATATTTTCATGCCACCTGTTCTGAGCTCTCAGCCTTGTTACCTCTTGATTTGCTACAAGGTCCCATCGTTTTACTGTTCAAATAGTTACATGTTACCTTAAGTTATAATTTTTTTCTCTCTTCGCACTTCTAATTGGTGAAACTCTCTTCTCTGCTACCTACAATCTTCAAACACTTAAATGCAAAGTCCATCGTCATCTATGTTCTTCGATCCTGTTCTTTTATTAACGTTTATGCTCACCAACATCTTTTTATTCTCTTTTCAACAACATCTTCTTATTCTCTTTTCACTTGCGTCTTAGTGGCATTCTCGCCTTGCTTGCGATGAAATGATTTAAAATATGTAAACAAAAAAAGACCTTATATTCCATCATGGAACGCTACCAGCATGCATGTTGCTTTCTTGAAAACTTAGACTATATCTGAGTATTATCGTTAGACATAATTATCTCATTAACTTTTAACAAGGTCCCTAATGTGGGTCTTCTGCTTTCATATGACAGGAAAACGAAAGAACACTGACATGCATGATGTACCTCCTACAACAAAAGAAATTTCTATCTAGACTTCTCTGTACATAATCATTAAGATGCCGTCATTGATGTCTAAAATGATACCTTTTATTAGTTATGCCCGTCACATTCGGAAGAGACTGATACCGCAGAACCAAATTAGTAACGTTTCGTCACCCCCGAGCAGACGCTGAATATTCAACTCTCTTGATGGATGAGACTTCCCTCAAGGAGGCTCCTTATCTTGGTCGTCTATTGAAACACGAGCTCTCATCAAACCTCAAGTAGAACTCTGATGTCTGATCCATTGGCAAAAATGCTGGAAGAACTGTTGGCACATTGTGCACTGACGAGCTATAAACTTTAGTCTCGCCCATGACTTTTACAACTGGCACTCTGCATGCTACAAAAAGAAAGTGAGCTTCATCTCAATTCGCTTCATATTCAATAGTAAGAATTTCCATTCAGACAGAATCTTCCAAAGAACTGCTGCTTTGTGGAGCAAACCTCAAGCAGGGTGTTTTCCAAATTAGTAAAATCTTGATCTATTGAAGTCCGGGGTTAACAGTCATATTTCCTGCATAAAGCTATAAACTTTATTTTTACATTTTCTTACGATACCACACAGTGACCCTCTATATTGAGGGGC